GAGGTGCCTATGTACGAAGAAATCACCGAAGAAAAGAAGCGACGCAACCGCCAAGAAATTCGAAGCCGAGAGATTCACAATGCACTAACGGCGGATTTGATCGAGCATATCTTTAGTCGTTCGAATAATTAGTGATTTCTTTGTACTGTTGTTTTTTTATGTAATTTTTTTAATGTTTTTTTTTATGAATGTAAAATTTTTTTATAATGAATTTAATTTTTTTATGCAATAGTGTCACTGCGATTAATTAAAATAATAAATTAATTTAAATTTATAAATTTAAATTTAGAAGATGTATATTTAAAAATGTAAAAAATGAAGGTTTGAAGCCCCAGTTTGAAGCCCCGGGGCTTCAAAACCATTTCCAGTGAATTTTGGGTGTAAGTTAAAGCTGACGTGGCAGAGAGAGAAAGTTTGAAGCCCCGGTTTGAAGCCCCGGGGCTTCAAACGTATTACCAGTGCTCTCATGGACCCATTTTTTTTATTTTCAATTCTTTTTTGAATTTTCAAAGTTTAGGCATCTTTTTAGGGTAAGATTTGTTGTTGACAAATGTGTACAATACTACGTATAAAAACAATAGTAGGGACTTGATGAGTAAGGACAATGTTCTAGGACCATTATTTCATAGAGTGATTCATAGCTTTTGACAAAATTGGCTTCCCTAACAAACTTTTGGAAATTGAAAAGTACTCAAATGCTTTTATGAATCTCTATTAGGGGTGGGAAGATGAGTCTTGGAATTCATGATCCTTGGATGCCTCACTTGAGAATACAAGAATGTTTTTCATCATACATTCTAAAGAGAATTGTTAATTGCATACAACCATCCGGCTTTCATGACCCACAATGACCATTGTATGTAACCTCAGCAAAGCATTCTACACAATCTTTTCCTAAAGAAAAGTGTTATGCACAACATATTTTTTTTCTTAAGGAAAGTAGAAGAAAAATCTTAGGCAATCCTTAGAAAAGGAAAATAATAAGAGGGAGAGTATTATACGATCACATTTAATTCAGACATACTCTCTTTGCCTCCAAAAGTAATTTCTTGTTCAATATTCATATGATCAAATATTCACCATTTTCTTTATCCATTTTCATTATAAAACAATACTACTCTACTTCCTTCTAAAAAAATATTTCCTATTTTAATTTTTTTGTCAAACTGTGACATTCTTTTATCATATATTATGAAAAAAGTAAATTTTATTATAATTTAAATCCAATAAAATTGGGTTCGTGTTAGGATATAAGTACTCCGTAGTTTTGATATATAAATTTTTTTATTACATTTATGTATTTAAGTTATTTATTTGCAGTCAAAGAGTATCATAGTTTAACAAAAAATCAAAATAAAGAAGATTTTTTAGGACGGATGGAATATAATTTTATCATCTCTTATTTTGTTGAGTTTCTTATAAAGTTTTAAAATATGTGCGTATATAGAATAAATTTTTATTATATTTTTATATCAATCTTCATATAAATTAAATAAATTAAATTAGAAAGTCATTACAAGAGGGAGAGAATATTTCTGAGAAAGAAATCACCCATATCCGCTGGATATTGTGCCTGGCCCCAATATTTTTAGGTCCACATGAGAATCAAATGATCTAAACTAACTTCAAAGGATGGGCAAGGAAGATATTCTGTTAGTATTGATTCTATTGGGCCGGAGGGTGGCCAATGACGAGTATAAAACATTCAATCATGCTTGGTGTCTTCGTGTACATTGGGAGAAATTTATTTTTGCGAGAAATTCCTAGGTGGGAAGAATAGCAATTTATATTTCTTTTGTTTTTTATTTTTTGACTTTTAGAATCCGATTATTTTAAATAATATAAATACTTACCTATTTTGCATGGGAGGTGGAAAAACGGTATTCCAAATACCCATTTTATTTTATTTTTTTGTTTTTTGATTTTTCGAATTTTAGAATCCCGACTATTCTAAATAGCATGCATAATTACCTATTTTGCATGGAAGGTGCGTCACAAAAACTCCATTAATATAAACATTTAAACTCTAAAAAAATATTGAAGAAAAATTAAACATTTTGATAAACCGGAAATATTATGAAAGAAATATTTTATTGAACAAGATATGTTCACCAAAAAACCAATAAAGTTATATTTATTGTGCTAGATTTATACATTCACAACTATAGAAAATACTTTTTGAACCGGTTATTTTTTATCTTTTAAATCGCTTGTCAATCGATGCAAAGACACCGATGCAATTGATGCAAATACTTTTTGCATCAGTTGTCCAACCAATTAAAAAAGACTCTCCTAAAACTGACACTAGTTCTAGGAGGGACTTTTTGAATCGGCTCTTTCCAAACAACCAATTTAAAAAGTTGGAGCCCAAGAAATGCTTGAGATAGAGAACTTCCATACCCATTTTAGATCCTTACATCTTATCCGATTGATATATTTTGATATATCTTAAAATAACTTTGATTTGAAATCATGTTTTACACGATTCATTAAGTCTATGAAGCTTCTTCATACTCATCTGCTTCTAACACTGCTACGCAGCATTGTCTCTCCTCCTAGATTTTGAACAAAATCAAAATTGAAAATCATATTGGAATCACTCAAATCCCTCTTTAAAAATGTTGAACAAATTTTACATAACAAAATCCAATAAGAAATTGCCCAAAAATGGAGCAAAATATATCGTTTATCTCTAAAATAAGAATGTCATATTTTTATTTCAAAATAGGACTATATTACAAAGTGACAATTTGACATAGTATATTGGCATTGAAAAGAATTTTTTGGTATAATATGCTGGCATTATATATCTTATTTTGGTAATAAAAACATGAAGGTCTTATATATTTTGATTGTTTCCATATACTCGTATTTTGCTTTTATTCTAGTCATTTTCTCAAATTAAATGCCCAAAATCAAACCCAGCCATACATGTTCGATTTCAAAATCAATTTTCACTCTGAAAAACCTAATCAAACCAAAATCTGACGGAATATAATATGGTTTGATTTTTGGCATTTCATTTGAGAAAATAACTAAGGTATGAATAGAACATTCAAAAAAAACTTTCCCAAAATGGGATTATTTTAGAGTTAAGAAATTTACTTAAATAGTACTAAAACATAATGACTTTTCCTAAATAGCACCACATGTGTTTTTCTTTCCAATGTTGCACTTTTAATCATTATACATTAGTCATTATTCAAGTAAATATCTGTCATACATTATGGATATTATTAAGTGCTATTTAAGGAATAAAATAGTTTAATTGCTATTTAAAGAAATGACTTAAATTTTAATTCTATTTAATGCAAATATTTCTTTAGGGTTCGGTCTCAATCTTTTTTGATTTAATCTCAATCTATCATGGTTAATCTTTTGGATCCCAATCTTTAAAAAAAATAAATAAATCATATTTCCCCTCAAAAACACCACCCATTTGCTGTACATTTCCTACATAAAGCTCCTCTTCCGTGAACAGTTCTACCACACATCACTCTCTTTTCCTCTATGAGCTTATCTTCCTAGGAAAAAAGCTTGAAACCCGAGGAGGAGATAAAATTTTGTTACGACGATGGGATTTTGACATAGAGTATATGAAAGAAGCAATTTTTTTTTTTAAAAAAAAAGATAAAATGGCTGACAGCAGCTATGACTGGGAAGAATCAAGCTTACTATGTGAAGAGACAAACATTCCATGCTTCTTTGATCTTGATTCTCCGGCGACGGTCGAGGTAACCCAAGAAACCGATGGCTATAAAGGCTTCATCTTTGGCATTAGAAGGTTAGAGCCATTGATTGATTTCCCTTGTCTGAGTGAGGAAAGCTTTGGGTCAATGGTGGAAAGGGAGGGTCAATATATGCCCAAGGATGATTATCTCAAGAGATTGAGATGTGGAGACTTGGATTTGGCACTGAGAAGAGAGGCTCTTGACTGGATTTGGAAGGTGATTTAATAAATTTCTATCTTTTTTATTCCAATTATTACTATTTGTGGATTCTTTAAATCAATTTCATCTTCATACATTTGCAGGCTCATACCCATTATAGATTTGGGGATTCTAGTTTTTGTCTGTCAATCAATTATTTGGATCGATTTCTCTCCATGTATGAAATGCCAGTAAGTTCTCAAAAATTTCAGTAATTTATCCCTTCTGTTCTTTTTTTTGGTTATACAGAAGTTTGTTGGGTGTTCATATTTTGGGCATTGAATGCTGATTGTCTGGACTTGTTTTTTGGTGTGATTTATTTTCTTTCTTGGAAATGATAGAACAACAAAACTTGGGCTGTCAAGTTGTTATCTTTGGCGTGTTTATCATTAGCAGCCAAAATGGAGGAGATCAACGTGCCTTTGACTGTCGATTTGCAGGTGAATTAACGCTTGATGACACTTTCATATAGCAAACCATGTTTGGATCTGATTGTGTTGTTTCATAATGTGTATAGGTTGGGGAGCCCAAATGTGTGTTTGATGGCAATACCATACAAAGAATGGAGCTTCTTTTGCTGCGCACCTTGCAGTGGAGAATGCAACCCTATACTCCATTGACTTTCATTGACCATTTTCTGAGAAAGATTAATGGTGTTGATAAATACCCATCACTGCCCTTGATTTCCAGATCAATGCAGATCATCTCAAGCACAACTAAAGGTGCTTCTTTGTTGCCCCAACAATACCCGTTTAATTTGGTATCCAAAAATGGCTTATCATGCTTGCTTCATATCCTCTGGGTTGCCTATTTGGGTGAAACCGATTTTATCAAACGTGTTCGCCTTTTGGAAAATGCAATAAGTTTATTCATATCTGCTGAAAAAAATCTTACCGAAAAGTAGAATAAATTGAATGCAGGAATCGATTTCTTGGAATTCAGGCCGTCTGAGATTGCTGCAGCAGTGGCAATGCTGGTTTCAGCAGATGCTATAGCTGCTGGAGAAGACATATTTAAGGATGTCCCTTGTTTCTCACTAGTGCAAAAGGTGAAGAAATGAACTTTGTATAAGGCACAATAAACATTCAATTCCTTGTGTTTCGATCTTTTCCTAACACAAGGATGAAATCATGCAGGAAAGGGTGATGAAGTGTGTTGAACTGATTCAAGATTGGGCAAATGGAGGAAGGGGAAGAAATGGTTCTTCTTCTTCTTCTTCTTCTACTCCCCAAAGTCCCAATGGGGTTCTGGAAGCTGCATGGTGGAGCCACAAAAGTGATGAGAGGGCAGTTGGGTCATGCCCAGACACTAAAAGGAGGAGATTAGACACATCAAATGAGGGGAATTGATTTTTGTTTTTCAAATTTTAAAAAGATAAAACAGAAAAAACATAAAGACGAAAAGTGAGGGGCTTTGAGCAAGTCTATTTGATTTAAGACAAAAAAGGAGAAAGAATTAGAGAGGCAAGAAGTGAGGTAGCTGCTTTTGGCATGAAAAGAATTGTGATCAGCCGTTAATAATTTTATCCCTTATTATTCTCTTTTACTTGGCCATATTTAATCTTTGCATTTCTTTTTAAAATAGTTTGCCGGATTTATTTTTAATTTAGCGTAATTTATTTATGTATTGGTATAAAATTTAAATATAAATTGTTTATATTTAAAACTTGGTTAAGTTTTTCTTGACATAGATCAATGGATCATATATACTTTTTCTTAAAACAAAGTGAGATAAAATTTTGGTACAACTCAAATAAGAAAGGGAGGGATTTTCTTTAGGTGTGGGCACGGGTCGAGACAGTTCGAGTTTTATACCATCCCGCGTTTTGTCTTGTTTTTTTTCAAATGGTCAAACTTATCTCTCTTTGTTCCTTAATTTTCTGAATCAGGATAAAACAGAATGAGTTTGTGTTGTCCTGCTTTATCATTGTTTGAAGTTAGATATAAAAATATAAAATGCATAAGGAGGAGACAACATGAAAAAAATGCTATAACATTCGTCAAAAGTTACACTATGATACACAAATTGGGGTGGGCATGGGTCAGAACGGTCTAGGTTTTTAGGTGTCCCGATCCTAATCCATTTGTCTTTGAATATTTGAATTCGAATATTTGTTTTTTATCTATCTTGGGAAAAATAAAAACTATGATACTTTTAATATTATATCATTCATATAAATAAACTAATAGATATGTTTTCAAAAAATTATAGATATATTCATCCATACGGGACAACGGGATAGAACATATTTATATATCTCGGTCCCATCCCATTTTAAAACGGTTCGAAATAGGTCTGGGATAAATTTTTTCATCCCAAAAAAAATAACATTATAGGACGGAATCAGGACATTTCGAGCGAGTCGAGACAACGAGATTATAATGCTTTCCCACTCCTAGTTTTGATGGCCCAGGTCCTACGACACTACATTCGTAAAATTCAAAAGTATTGAATAGAAAAATAATTAGCGAACTGAATGAGTAATCTGTGAGGAACAAAATAAAACTTTCAAGTCCTAAAGAACATTTAATTTAATGCAACACAATGAAATTAAAATCAATTTTAGGATATATTTGGAAAGTTTTGAAAATATGATATAATTTCAAAAAATGATAATACCTCTCTCTCTCTCAGAATGTTTGTTCATTTTTTACTTTTTATAACTAAAACTAACAAACTTTGACTATTAATTAAATAAAATTGATATTAAATATTGATAAAAAAATAAGTTTATTAGATTTAGTTTATCTTGTAAAGTATTTTCTAAATATTTTTTATCTATTTAATATACCATATAATTCTTATTTATATCAATTTGATCGTATTTGACTGCAAAAAATGAAAAATCAACAAACATTTTGGGACAGATGANCCCCCCCCGCCTCTGCTGGAGATAGAGTCACCATTGCCGGACACTAACACTATATTTGGTTCAAGGAATTTAGAAGAAAAAGAAAAAAAATGATTTTCTCTCGGTTTCCTCACCAAAGGACAAAATGATTTTTTCCCTCCTCTTTACGTTTTGCTTTCTCCTTTTCTTTTCCTTCTACTTTTTTTTCTCTCTAACCAAACAAGAAAAACTGTTTCCCATTTCAAATTTCTTGAACCAAACATAGTGTAAATCATCACTGCTTGAAATCTCTGACTTATTTTATTTTGGGCATCATTGTTTGATGAAAATACTTCGAATATTCAAAAATGGAGTTCAAAATGATACGGAGTATACCTTTATCTCTGGCATCCTTTACGAAAAAGCCCCATACATTCAAATGTTTGAATTCAAATATTCGAATATTTCATGATAAAATGCAATGGTTAGTGAAAAATTACATAAATAGACTGTTTGTATGTTAACCGATATATATATTCAAATGTTTAAATATAAACATTCGAATGTTACACAAAAATTTGTGTTGTTTCATCAAACATGTCCATTCTAATATTGCCTCTAAAAAGATGGTTTCAGAGTATTTTTTGAACACGACATGATTTTCATACTCGTTTTAGATTACTTACGTGTAACCGGTTATTTCAACTCCTCTCCAATTTCCAACACAAATTTAGGAGTTGCTCTTAATGAGTACATTGCAAATTCGGAAATGAGAGAATGGACCATGCTAGGGTGCCACCACATGGGTGCTACCATGGGTGCATCCATGCTTCATACAAAGAAACACAGACAATAATTATTTGTGTGACACAGACAATTATCGTCTGTGTTTGTCTGTGTGAAGCATGTGTGCACCCATTGTAGCACCCATATGGTGGCACCCTAGCATTTTCCATGAGAGAATACCTGAAGATATAAGTCCCAGTCCCAGCAAAGGCGAGGCCCTAGGGCCCTACATTCCAAGATGGCGCAAAAAGGCGAGTCAAGTATGACGTCGTGCTGATTTTGATTTGTAACGATTGCCGTAAGAGCACACGCAGCGGCAAGTTATTCCTATGACACGCCCTGCCAGGTCACATTTTTACTTGTTTACCGTGGAATGGAAGGAGCATTCCACCCTGATTAGCGTGGCTTGTGTGAGGTATATTTGTTCCTTTTCTTGTTTTTTTGAAGAAAGAAAGGAAGTCTAGGCTGTTGAAAAAAAAAATCAAAATGGCAAAAAAAAGACTTGCCTGTCATGCCACTCAAGACTGGGCTTTTGTTTTAAAAATAAAATATTTTTTGTAAGGCATTTAAATTAATAAAATAGATAACCCTTCAAAAAAAAAGTTGTAGATAACAATGTTTTCTAATTTTTTTAATAAAGAAAAAGATGATTTTTTAATAAGGAAAAAGAATACTATTTTATTGTAAAGGTTATAGAAGTATTTTTATGATCAAATAAATAATTAAAATAAATTTTAATAATTAAAATACCTAAAAATACATAATAAGTGACAAAAACAATGACTTGCCACTGCAGGACATGCCACTCCACTCACTTGTCACTCAGTGACTGGACTACTTTTCATTGGTTCAAATTTTCTACGTCAACGTGTGACATTCCATTTTTGCCTCACCATTGTCCATGCTCTAATTGCTTGGGGCCACGCACTGGCCCAACGGCTATTATGCCCAAAATTTCTTCATTGACCACTGAATGTGTGCCCGAGATTAGGATATGAATATAGATTTTGACTGAGTAGCATTTGTCAAATGCCAACATCTTAATTCATTACGTTTGGAAGAACTAATTTTAGATTAAAGTGCTCATTAGAACTTTAAACATTGAGAATTTTCTTAAATAGGACTAAAACAAAATGAATTTCTCAATATAAAATCATGTATTGTTATTTCCCAATGACATGGAAAATTTCTTAAATAGGACTAAAACAAAATAAATTTCTCAATATAAAATCATGTATTGTTATTTCCCAATGTAGCACAATTGGTCATTATCCATTAATTATTATTCGCAAATTATATCCTACATCCGACTGTACGGAAAGAACCGTACAGCCGGAAAAAATTAGAATAGGAAAAGGAAGAGAACGGGTCGGAGCATGTTATCCGGCAATTGAAATGGAAGAAGAGGAGGTTGTGATGGCAGGTAGATCCGATCAGATTGGGAGCCGAGATTCGAGCCGGCGTGGATCGTGGAAGAAGATCGATGGTGGTGACGATCGATGATTGAGAGCAGAGATCCGATCCGGGCCACATAATTTTTGGGAGGGAGATCCGATCGATTGGGCTGCTTAACTTGTGGATAAGGGGAAATCGAGGAAGATTCGACGAAGATGTCTGAGGATAATGATGGTACTAAATTTTTCAATTGTGAAAGAATTGAACAATACTTTATTTGAGAATGATTATTGCTTTTTTTAGAAAGAGTATTACGCTATTTATTACGTAGTATAATTATATTAAATAAATGTGTAAAAATGAGTACTTCATTATTTTAAAATGAGTACTACCTTATTTCAGAATGAATACTATGTAATTTGAAATGAATTTTATATTTGTACGAAAATGAGTACTACTTTACTTTAGAATGAGTACTATCCAGATGTATCTATCTCTAGGTACATCCGGATGTACCATATACCTTCTCATTATTATTTATGTAAATGTTCATCATCACTGGACATTATTACTCTAACTAGACATTATTAAGTTAGAAATCACCTTAAATAGGTCTAAAACATAGAGGAAAGTACTATAATAGGACTTTCATATTTTTTCCCAAAATAGGACTTTGCACTGTGGTAATATGACACTGTGCATGTGTACATTACTATAGTTTTTTGGTAATGTACATGACCATGTTTGGTAATGTAAGTCCTATTTTGTGAATAAAAACATCAAAGTCCTATTTTGATATATTTTCAATGTTTTAGTTCTACTTTGGTCTTTCTCCCTTATTAAGTCTTATTTAGGGAATAAAAAAGTGTAAGTCCTACATTAGGAAATGACTTATGTTTTAGTTTTATTTAGTGCAAATTTCACTTTAAACATACGGAGTATGTTTTGTTTTCAATTTAAACCAACAGAGTGTTATTTTTTGTTATTTAAATGTCTCCTTCATCCAAAAATACAAAGAAAAATTCAAAAATTTTTAACTTTTAATTAAAAATTGTTTTTGAAATCTTTTAAAAATAAAATATATCCCCTCCGTTCCAAATTAAATTGCATGTTTATTATTCAAAAAGTCAAACTTTATTCACTTTTTTTTTCTATTTTTGTTAGTTATTTGATAAAATAAAATAGTCATGAATGGAGTAATTTTTATTCATTAATTCTATGCTATTTTTCATATAAAATGATTTGAAAATAATTTTAATCAAACATCGTAAAACAAAATAGGCGATATAAATAAGAACAGAGGGAGTAGAACATAAAAACATTAAAATTCACAGAAATTATATATGAAGTATTAAACATGTACAGAGTATATTTTAGAAAAATTTTATAGTAAGAAATTTCTTATTAATGTAAGACATTCGCTTTCAAAATTAAATTTAGTGAAATTTGTACTAAATAAGACTAAAGCATAAATCATTTCCTAATGTAGGACTTTAACTTTTTTATTCCCTAAATAGGATTTAA